ATCCAGTTTCTGGGCCCGGATTTTGGATTTTGGTTGTTAGGAAGTTCGGATCGTGGATCTCAACGTTTCCCCGGAAATTTCCCTGTGCCGGATGTCACGCAGTGGAGAAAATGACTAACAATAGTGACGCACTTCAGCGTGACGGTTCCGTGATGGCCGTGACGAAAGTTACCTCCCACCCGCGTGGGCCCTCTCATCTTTCAGATCTTTGGTCAAGGGTCAAATCATCATGAAAGCGTGGGCACATGTCACTACCGAGACCGGTTTCATTCAGTTGTGACCAGTTGTCGATTGTCTACTTTGTGTTGCAGGACTTGTAGTGTATAATGATGTAAGTAATGGTCAGTGTTATGGAGTTGAAAACGATAGAATGCGTTGCATTCTTTTACAACGAAGGAGCCAAAGGCGATGACTTCATACAAAAAAATAAATTTCGCTGCCAAGTAGATTCCGTCACAACGAAAAGTCTAGTGAAGCTCCGAAACCATGTGCGGTAAGTTTTCTCATTCATTGCAATGATTAACGAATTGATAGCAGGCAAATCAGTGGCAAATAATTAATAGAAAGAGGTCTCTCTTTTTATTTCCTGTCTTATTTAGTGAATTTGCTGCATTGGACTCGACAGCTAAAGAGCTTGGTATAGGCGAGAATATTGCTGTCAAACTTAATAGGGGTTCTCGTATATCTGGACGCCAGGAAAGATACACCATTGATACTGACAAACAGTTGGAACTTGAAATTCCCTCGATATTAAATGGCGTTGATAAGCTGTTAAGTAAGTACCAGTACATTTATATATATATTTATAAATATCATGAAATTGTGGCTCCTTAGGAAGAAGCTAATTTCTCACTGAAATGTCTGTTGATCTCGGCTCGAATTTCCTGCTGTGCGTTCAGTGATACATACTTTACACGATGGCTTAACATATCATACTAATTGCCTTAATTATGTACTTTCATTGTAGTCATTATTCACCCAGTTAAGTTGTTGTTTGGTAAGAAAGTTCCCACAATCGTCATTGGCGCCAAAAGTAACGAAAGGATCGGTCGTGCATCAGCTAACATTCCACAGAAGTCACAGAAAGTACCATCTAAAGTTCTTTCGGATGAACAAGTTCAACAACTAAATGAAGGTAAGTGGTCTATCTCTATCTCTATCTCGTTTTGTTTTGCTATATAACAAATCACTTAATGACTGGTCCCTTGGGGAACAGTGAATTTTGTTTCCCTCGAAACTCAATGTTTCCCTCGACTTCGTCTCGGGAAACATTGAGATTCTCGGGAAACAAAATTCACTGTTCCCCTCGGGACCAGTCATTAAGTGTTTATTGATTTGCAGAGCTTCATAAACTTGAAGGAAGCAAAGTTGTCGTTTCCTCCACAAAAACGACTGTAAAGCACAAAGGGCAAATAATTGCATGGCCATATCACGTAAAATGTAAATGTCACGTGTCATATCATATGTAAATGTCATATCACGTAAATGTGGCATATGTGGAGTGGAAAGGCAAGTTGATGTTGACCGAAAACATGCCGGAATCCTAAATAAGTTTAGAGCAGGTATGGGTATTGAACATGAGCACTTCTATATGAATGGTATTCTCACATTTTGATGTTGCCAATAGTCTGGCTTTTAGACTATGGCAAACAATGATATAAAGTTTCTTTGTTTTTTTTTCTTCCAGCGCATTTTGATCTATGTAAAGGGAAGTCTTCAAGATTGAAGAAAGTCACACAAATGCAGTCAGTGTTAAAATTTACACAGACCGTAAAGAAAAGGGGAGCACCTGAAGCCTCAGAGGCGGGATGTTCAAGCAAAATGCCAAAACCCTCAGAAGACTCTGATGTTGATAACTCAGACAGAGAAACAGAGTAAATAATTGAATTTTCATGACAACTTTTACTTAAAGTTGTATACTCGAATGATACATATTTTATACATTTGCCAAATGTAAAAAATGCTTCCACGTTTTGTTCTTCACATTTTGAGAAAAAATGACTGGAATAACGCTTAACAGCGAGGTTGTAAATTTTCTTGCCTTTCATTTCTTGTGTTTTCACCACTTGAAGCATATGATAATTTTTTTCGAAGAGGGTGAATGCATGTAGGAACCTATCATGTTAATGCGTTATGCTATTAAATATAACTATACTTAAACACTTGTTTTGTCCTGCTACAATCTCATTATAGAGCCATGATGGAAAATGATATTGATTGGAGTGATGAGGGTTCAGAGAGTGCAGAGAGTGCAAAGTCTACCGAAAATGAGAGTCAGTTTGAAGACAGTAGCGGTGAAGAGGCACAAGAAAATGTTAATAGTCTAGTCGAAGAAGGCAAAAGTGAGATTGATAGTGATTTTGACCAAGACGACAATACCTCCTTGCAGTATGGCGTAGAGATGGCTGACCCTGTGTGCATCAAACTAAATGATCTAATACGCAGGGGAAAAATAGATAGGTCCCAAATCCTCTACAAATTTTAAACGACGTACTAGAAA